ACTTTATTATTTACAATCACTAGCATCAACTTCCACAATTTACTTTACTTAAATGTACTCTCCAACGTGTTTACTTTACGACTTTACTGATGTTGTGAAAGCGTAGAATAATTGAGTTGTTCGCTATGGAAGGTTCTTGTTTTATCGTTTCTAGAATGTACCAGTTATCGGCTTCTCTCTTTCATCTGACATTCGCCTCGCATTTTCGCAACAATACTGTTACGCTCAATTCTATTAACTAACAGCAAGTTTTGCGAATCATGTGAGGAGTGTGGTACGATTACGTGAAACGAAGTAATCGTGCTTTTTGACAATTTCCACCCTGGCCCGTACTTGCACCTTCTCTATGTTATACGTTCTCTAATTTGCCTACTTGTCATTTTTGTTATCATCGTCGCCGTAAAAATGCCGAGAAAACATAAGAAGACTACCCCTTCGAGGTGAATTTAATTTGCGAAAGAAGGTCCAAAGCGGACTCACTCCGTCTGTGAAACCTGAGCCACTTCAATAAACAATTCACAGTTCTTTTCCCTTCTTATTAATATACGTTCTTTGACCGAATATTAAAATCGTTCGAATTTTCGCTAAGTCTTCTTGGCGATCCGAAAATCATTATACTATTCTTAGAGAGAAGTGAATATCGTTAAAAATATCGCTAGGTCTAATTTGCGATCAAAAATACTTATACTGCGCGTAGAGAATAGCGAAAACGTTAAAATTATGGTTAAGTCGTTTTAACGATCCGCAAATCGTATAATATATGTAGAGAATAGCGAAATCGTTAAAATTATAGTTAATTGCGTCCGAATTTAAAATTTTTATTATTGTATTTATCTCAAGTTTTCACAATTAAACTTATCAGCAAAATCAAATTCTAGTCGCCTACCCGCTTGTTTTGACTCCGAAATGAGAAAAACAAAGTGACAAGAAATGGGTAAAATGTCAAACGCAACGAAATCAAAAAGGAAATACTTGCCTGTACCGAGGTGTCTGTATCATTACCCTTTCTTCTCACTTCCCTTGTCCACGAATTATCAGACTTGAAAGCAAAATTTCACACGTGTGAAAGGGGACATACACGTTCTATCGTTTCACACTTAAGATTAATGTGAAGCAACTTTATTATAGTGTTGCGAAAATGCGAGGCGAATGTCAGATGAAAGAGAGAAGCCGATAACTAGTACGTTCTAGAAACGATAAAACAAGAACCTTCAATAGCTCTAGGTTCTTATTCTTTCTATACATACTTCATATTGTTGCGAAAATGCAAGGTGAATGTCAGAGGAAAGAGAGAAGCCGATAACTTGTACATTCTAGAACAAGAACATTCGATAGTGAACACTCGATTATTCTACACTTTCGTCTACGAGCCGTCGACTGCTATATAAGGGCGACATTCAGCTGCCAAAAAAGTAGGTTATAAAGTGAACTCGTTGGCGTTAACATAGAGTATAGCGGAGTAAGCGCGTTGGAGATTACATTTAAGTAAAGTAAATTGTGAAAGTTGATGCTAGTGATTGTAAAATCGATAACAATGAC